CTTTTGGATTTTCTTCCATGATTTAAAAAAAAAAGCAAATTGGTAGTTATGTAACTAGGGTTATAGTTGTAGATTATTAAAACATAGAAATATTCTTAGCAAAATCTTGCTACTTCTGAAAGGCAGCTTTTTTTGGAGTTATTTTAGGAGATAGCGGATCTCAGTGAATTTCAGAGTCTTCAAAGTCATATTAAGGAAAAACTATATGTTACATATATATTTCTAAAAATTGTGATAAATACACATAACATATAATTTGCCATCTTACCCATTTTAAGTGTACAGCTTAGTGGGCTATGTATATTCACACTGCTGTGCAACCAACCTCCAGAACTTTTTTTATCTTGCAAAACTGGAACTCTCTACCCATTAAATAACAACTCACAATTTTCCTCTCCCCTTATCCCCTGGCAACTACCATTCTACTTTTTGTTTTTATGAATTTGACTACTTTGGATACCTCATATAGGTGGAATCATACAATATTTGTCTTTTTGTGACTAACTTATTTCCCTTAGCATGATATATTCAAGGTTCATGTATGTTGTAGCATGTGTCAAAATTTACTGCCTTTTTAAGGCTCAATGTTCTAGAGTGTGTGTGTGTGTGCGCGCGCACGGGCGCCTACAGATATACACCATATTTTGTTTATGTATCTGTCAGTGGACATTTGGGTTCTTTTTGCCTTTTGGCCATTGTGAATAACAATACTGTTATTAACAGTACAAAGATATTTGGTGTACAAATATCTGAGTCATTACTTTCAATTCTTTTGGGTATATACTGGAAGTGGAATTGTTGGATCATATGATCATTGTATTTTCCATTTTTTGAGGAATCAACGTACTGTTTTCTGTAGTGGCCGTGCAATTTTAACTTTCTACCAACAGTGTATAAATGTTCCACATCCCTGCTAACACTTGTTATTTTCTTTCTTCCTTTTATAATGTAATAGCCATCCTAAGGTATGTAAAGTAGTATGTGATTGTGGTTTTGATTTTCATTTCCACTAGCGACTACATTAGCAGTGTTGAGTATTATTTCATGTGCTCATTGGCCATTTGTATATCTTCTTTGGAGAAATGTCTGTTCAAGTTCTTTGCCCATTTAAAAATATTTTGCTATTTTTTGTATGAGTTGTAGGAGTTCTTTATATGGTCTAGATATTAAGCCCTTATCAGATATGATTTGCAAATGTTTTCTTCCATTTCATAGACTGCTTTTTCAATCTGCTGATAGTGTCCTTTGATGCACAGAAGTTTTTGATTTGGAGTCCAGTTTATCCATTTTTACTTTTGTTGCTGGGCTTTGTGTAATATCCAAGAAGTCATCGCCAAATCAAACGTAATGAAGCTTTCCTTCTGTTTTCTTCTAAGAGTTTTATATTTTTAGGTCTTATGTGTTTGGGTCTTTGATCAATTTTGAGTTATTTTTGTATATGGCATAAGGTAAGGGTCCAACTTCATTCTTTTGCGGATATCCAGTTTTCCCAGCAGCAGCATTTGTTGAAAAGACTGTCCTTTCCCTCCCCATTTAATGGTCTTGGCACCCTTATCAAAAATAATTTGACCGTATACGCTAAGGTTTATTTCTCGGCTCTGTATTTGTTCCATTGGTCTATATGTCTGTGTGTATATATATATTTTTAAATAATATAGTTAATTAGTAACTTTTTTTTTTTGATACAGAGTCTCCCTCTGTCACCCAGCCTAGAGTGCAGTGGCACAATCGTGGCTCACTGCAACCTCCACCTCCTGGGTTCAAGCGATTCTCCTGCCTCAGCCTGCCTGAGTAGCTGGGACTACAGGCATGCACCACATGCCCAACTAATTTTTGTATTTTTAGTAGAGATGGGGTTTCGCCATGTTGGCCAGGCTGTTCTTGAACTCCTGACCTCAGGTGATCTGCCCACCTCAGCCTCCCAAAGTGCTGGAATTACAGGCATGAGCCACTGAGCCTGGCCAATTAGTATGTTTTAAAATAAAGTCTTAGTTGTAAATTTGACAGTCTTTACTAATGTAGAGATAGTGAAACTTTACCTACGTTCTCTTAGGGTCCTGACTGGGCCCAACAGCTAAACTGATATAAGTTAGAGTAACAGGAGAAAAGCATGCACATTTATTCAATACAAGTTTTATGTGGCATGGGAGCCATCATAAAGGAATGAAGAACTGAAGAAGCTGTTAGAGTCAATTACTTAAATACTGAATTGGACAAAGAATAGTAAGTTGGGAAAATGTGATAAGGCAAAGGGGATTAGGCTAGGATAGTTAATTGTGTACGTAAGTAGCCAGGAAGATAAGGGTTGGTATAACTAGGTTTGTTTGTACAGAATTCCTTTGGCCTCAGCTTTTTGTCCTCGATGATAAGAATGTTGCATCTTTTATATAGGAATTTCATTTCTTGCCTTAGCAACCAGTATGAATGTCATAGTGATCTTTTTTTCACCTGCTGTTTTTGAAGTGCTATATTAACTTAAATAGTTAATATGCCAAAATGGTATAAGTTTTTTCGTTAGTGAGTCCTGAGATTTTCTTTTACTTTTCATAGTATCCATAGAAAAATCTTGCTCCTACCCCATCTTCATCAGTCCCATTTCCCCTGCATCCTATAGGTAACCACATCATAAGGAAATACACATATATAAATCCTATTGTTTCTCCTTTTTAAATCTATCTTACAGTTAGTTTCTACTGTCCTAATTATAGCACAATTTTACTTTTTAGGTTCTATGATTTGAAGAGTGGTATGGCTATATATTATAGCTTCTAAGTTGTTACCATATTTTGGAGCAAAATGTATTGTTATTTTTACTATTAATTTACATTTAACATGAATCATGATCCTAAAAGCATCAAAATGTCTTCATAACATCCTACAAAGAAGAGAGAACAGCACTGCTGTTCTACACTGTGGGTCTTGCCCAATCTATAGTTACAAGAAATAGTTCTTTAGTTGTTGTGATGCCCTGGGTAGACTTCATTCTTAAGTAATGTACTTTGTCTATAGTAACTCCCTGCAAATATGTATAAGTGCACAGAATATCCTGAAGATACATGGTGAGGTTTGGTTGCCTTTGTTCTCTGAAGCCTTTTTTTTTTTTGGGAGACAGAGTCTTACTCTGTCGCCCAGGCTGGAGACCAGTGGCGCGATCTTGGCTCACTGCAACCTCTGCCTTCTGAATTCAAGTGATTCTCCTGCCCCAGCCTCCCAAGTAGCTGGGACTACAGGCACGTGCCACCACACCCAGCTAATTTTCTTTGTATTTTTAGTGGAGATGGGGTTTCACCATGTTAGCCAGGATGGTCTTGATCTCCTGACCTCGTGATCTGTCCACCTTGGCCTCCCAAAGTTCTGGGATTACAGGCATGAGCCACCGCGCCCCGGTCTCCTCTCTGAAGTATTTACGGTTGTTGTTTCTATTATTGTTCCCAGCCAGAACTGGAACTGACCTGATGTCATGATCTATGAATATAATTTTTAATTAAGGAAGAAGTACCAGGAAATTTCATGTCATTGTAGACCTGCTTCGCTGAATACCATTTAGCAGTCTATACTCCAGCCACCAGGCATATTGGCTGTGCAATGATGCCTCCACGATAACTAACAGTAAGGAGTAAAAGTTGGGCTTAGATACTCTGGCTCTTGCTTAGGTCAAGGGGTATGCTGTGTTCTTGTAACAAATCCCACATATACATACATATGCATATTGTTCCACAAACATCCCCAAGCAGAAACCAGGGTTAGGTGCAGAATAACCTCAAAAAAATTTTGGTTGCTAGGCTGTAGATGAGTCTTTCTGAGGCTGATATTTTGACACTACGGGCTCCATTGTTTCTCAACTGCTGTGTTGTGCTGCATCAATTGTTTCACTATATTATCACTAAAAGCTTGATCTCCCTAAAAACATTAACTTCTTAGGACCTGTGTGCCAATGGGGGCTTTTGGACTTGACTTCAGCTTTTTTGGGGGGGGATAGAGTCCCTTTCCCCTCTGTAGTATTGGGTTATTAGTGAATCAACCCTGAAGAGGTAAATGGTTGGAGCCTCAGCCTCCCAAGAGGCTGTCACTGGAGAATGGTCTCACTGACCTCAGCCCTTGGGCATTTCCACAACACATTTTCCCCCTAACACCTCTACTGCTGCTAAATGCCTACCTAACTCTTAAAATAGGAAAGCTGGGAACTCCACTCAAAACCATACAAAAAACCAGTTTGTACATTTGGACACCTCCCGAGCACTCACAGTCCCTGTGTTTCTCTTTTCCAGCAGTAGACAGTCACTGTCATGCAGTTTAAGTGATTTATTGATGCCTCAGCTAAACTTGCTATTGTTTCAGGACATTTCAGTCACCAAAATTTTTAAAGAGCATTCTGTACTAGAGGAGCCGTGCTGCTTCCTTGTGTCTGCTAATGTGTCCTTAGCCAGCCTCATTCTTCTTCAGCTTTTCCACTTTGGCAACATAGATCCTCATGGTGTCCATCTTAAACATCCCTTTGTTCACATTCCATGCCTCCTACTTGGCCTTGGCTTTCACATCTGAGGCTGAAGGGGTAGGAATGTTGCAGTCGCTCTGGGTGGGCTGTTTGTAGAAGCTGTACACCAGCAGTTTTCTCCTGATGGCACACAGTACCCTTCAGCTGCTTGAGGGCAGTGCGGGCCAGCTCAAACTCCACTTGGCACATTGCAGGAGGGAAGGCCAGGCCCCTCTGTCCTTTCTAGGTGAAACCTGGTGCTAGAAGGTTCATCAGGTTTCTTCATCGATAGAGTGGGGATGCTGATGATGATATATCTTCCTCACTGAATTTTGGAGGACTTTTCATTGAGAATCCCTATGTACAGTGTCTGGTACAGGGCTATGTGTGTTGTAGCACTGATCAAACTCTCAGTAGAGAGTGGTATAATTTTAACTCCTTAACAAACATTTCAAGATAGTAAGAAGAAAGTATCATACCAAGTTTTGGTTACAGAGCCTTTTAATGAAGCAAAAACTTTTAGACGTTAGCATTCCAAACAAAGTTTATTCTAGCAATAAGACACAATGTGATAGTGAATATAAATTACTGTGGAAATTACTTCAGATCTGAGAAATGTGGAAAATAATTGAAAAAGCTCATGGGTCTCTTCCTGAAGGACAACCTGTGAACCTGTCAGTGCTAGGAGAGATACTACCTAGCTGTTCCTGCCTATACCACTCTTCTTACTTTATAGCTATGGTAGCCCCTTCATAATCCTTTCAGGTTCTAGCAAAGCAGGAACCTCAATTTACTGTAATGTTTAATAAACATTCTCAGATTTACAACATCTGGGAAATAATAGCACTTATAAATCATGGACATTATCAAAGATCATTCATAATATATTCTTACTATCTAAACTTGGTTTTCTGTACATTTAATTTTTCTAGAGGTATGTGAAGTGGGGAAAATGGGTACTTTAAGAACTATGATTTGTTTAATTTTCACCTAGATAATTGACAAACATTTATTATTATTATCATTATGTAGAACAACATAGATATATCAGTATCCATATTTTACCTTTAATAGCTCACAGGAATGGTATTTTGGGTTAATGACTATTTACTCAGAAAATCTGGAGAAAATTTTGCAATCTCGACAACACCCTATTTTTTTAAATACAATTTTTTCTCTAAAAATTAGTTAACTTTTGATTATCTGTGTGATAAAGAAGGTTGGGAATAGGAGAATGAAAATTTGCTGGTAACTCAGTTTGGCTTATATGTTATGCATTATTAAAATTTTTTCAGCGCAATAACAAAATGAAAAATCTAATTTGAGTTTCACCTTTTTTTGTCATATCCTCTGGAAGAGGTACAGATAAATGGGAAGTAGAAAGAAAAATTTGAAGTATAAAAGCCTTAAGTCTGATTAACTTTGAAGATTTAATTATATAATGTAATTATTGTCTAATGTTAAACAATGTTGATTATTATAAATGTCTATAAATTTTTTTTTTTTTTTTTTGAGACTAAGTCTCACTGTGTTGCCCAGACTGGAGTGTAGTGGCATGATCTCGGCTCACTGCAACCTCTGCCCTCCGGGTTCATGCCATTCTGCCTCAACCTCCCAAGTAGTTGGGACTACAGGTGCATGCTGCCATGCCTGGCTAATTTTTTTATTTTTTATTTTTAGTAGAGACGGGGTTTTACTGTGTTGTCTAGGATAGTCTCGATCTCCTGACCTCGTGATCAGCCCACCTCGGCCTCCCAAAGTGCTGGGATTACAGGCATGAGCCACCACGCCTGGCCTATAGGTGTCTATAATTGTGAAATATCAGTGATCTGCTAAAGAATGGGTGTCGATAACTGTGAAGGGTATGAGATTTTACCCTACTTAGTAGCTAACAAGTTACCACACTATAGTTTCATGGATGCTGTTAGAAGACATGAGACTCCTAAGTCAGAGACAAATGATAGTAACCAGGGTATAGGCATTTTTTTCTTTTCTTTTTTTTCATGGATTCTCTGAGCCCTATTCCTATAGAGCAATGTTAAGAGGGCTAGATGACACCTGCACACTCAATGGGCAGTGTAAAGGAGAGGTATTCTGAGCTTAAAGAACTCAAATCTCATATAATAGTTGATAAGCATGCCTGCCCCTTTCTCCAGAGGGAAACTGTATCTGCATTCTAAGGGGCAGTCAGGGCAAATTACTCATAGCAGTAATTTGAGAGAACCATGGAGAACTGTCTTCTAACAATGGGTCTGGGCTGAAAATTTGCATAACAGGTACTGTATTTGTAATGTAAATTAATAATGTAAACAAGACCAGAAGAGGACTTTCTTTCTTTCTTTCTTTCTTTTTTGGAGACAGGTCTGTTGCCCAGGTTAGAGTGTAGTGGCGTGATCACGGCTCACTGTAGCCTTGAACTCCTGGGCTCAAGCAGTTCTCCTGCCTCAGCTTCACAAGCATGTACCACCATGCCTGGCTAATTTTTAAAACATTTTCTAGAGACAGCGTTTCACTATGTTGCACAGGCTATTCTTGAACTCCTGGGCTCAAGTGATCCTCCAGCCTTGGCCTCCTAAAGCACTGGGACTACAGACGTGAGCACTACGCCTGCCCCCTACTGCCCCTTTTTTAAAGTACCTGGGAGAACAAAGTTTAAATATTCTATTTTTGTAGCACCTAATTAATGTACAATTTAAGATACTTTCAAAATTTTACATTATTGAAAATAAGTAGGTTAAGGACTTTTACTTAGGATCACTTTGCTGTTATGCTGCATGTTTTTGAAATAATAAAACTTTATTTTGAAAACACTCAAAACTCTTAACTAATTTATACAATTCATACTGTCTCTTGTTAAAAATCCACACGGGGGATATTAAGTCTGTATCAGGCCATGAAAAAGTTTAGATATGAAGAAGGCGGGTTTCTTTTTTTCTTAATGTTTACACCAAACCAAAGTGAATCATTCTGAGAGAACCACCATCTCTGATTTCCTGCAAATAAACAAATAAAAATAATTAAAATAATGTTTAAGCAGAGTAAGAAGTAATTGACTTAACATTTGTATCTTTATTATTTTTAAGTACTTAAAAATAGTGAAACAAAATAGTTTAAAATGTACTGCACATAGATACATAAGAGAACTGTATACTTACCTGACTTGATCATCAAAATTTTGATATGATATTCATAAAAACTAGTCAAGAAATAATAAGCATTAAGAGGCAAAGAAACGACAGGATGGTAATTGAAATTTAGAAGCATCTGAGGGTTCCTCCAATGAAAAATTGCAAACTGTGGGTCATCATTTGGATTCTACAGTGTGATTTTAAAATACTGTGTATTCTAAAAGGTATTATATAACATATTTCCTAATTTTGGGTGTTTTACTGAGTATTTGATAGTGGCTCTTGAGGTAATGGCTTATAAAATAGAAAAGATTGTGGTTTTATAAGACTTTCATAAAATTTTATGAAGCTTCAAAGAAATATTGACAACAACTTTATTTCCCATTTATTATACTTTCTTTTGCACTTTCCACCCATCCCTATCAGTTACAGAAAAACAGAAGCTTTTATGGGCTTCTGAAGTTGGATGATGTGTGAAGATAAGACTAAAGATGAGTAATATGTGAAAAATAACACAGTGGGGACATTTTTTAAAATTTGAAGATAACCTACTTAGAGTTGAAATGGTAAAAGTAAAAGGTAAAGAGAGTAGGGATAATAGCACTTACACTATCATGTCATAATTGGAGACATTTTACTTAAAGTATAGGTGAAAATAATGTTTAAAAATAAATTTATTCTGTAAGTTATATCTTAAAAGTTATTTTTACTAAGAGAAGCTTTTCAGAAAGTCTGCATTTATACTATTTTAAGTAGTCACATCTCAAAGGAAACAGATATGGGGCTAAAAAATAGGGGCAACACATGTATGTAGGTATGTGCCTGTAGATCTTGATGTACACAAAATTGAAAAAAAAAAAAAAACCTGGAAAAACAGGTAGCAAGAAGAATGCGTAATTTAATAGTGCCTGGGGCTTGAGTGTGTGCTGGCAAGTTCCAGGCTTTTAGGTAGCTTTCAATTTAAAAAGAAAACTAAGCACTGTCATTTTAAAAGCATAAGCTTCAACTCTTGGCTTATAAACTACCATATCAAAGTCTAGTTTCTATACCACGAGAATGGCCATTGAGAAAATGAGTTAGGTTTTGGCCTTGTTCATCAACTGACAGAGATCCTAGATAAATTGTTTTATTTTCCTAATATCTAGATATACTTGTTGCTAGAAGACTGATGGCATACCTAAGAAGTATCATGTCGTTCAGCCATGTTGTTGATGTTATGTAGTGTCTTCTATCCATGATTTAATCCTCTCTTACCTTAGGAATTACATTTTAAAAAGTAAGAATCATAGAATTAACTTTTCAAGATCCTCCAGGATTTAAAAAAACAAAAAATATTCCTTTGGAGGATTTCCTTTAAAATCCATTGCATTTTAAAAAGACTTTAGGGCATTTCCAAGGTTTCCAATGCTATATAACCTTGACTTATACTCTATGTACCTTAGAGGGATATTTTGAAGATTTATAAAATAATTTATTTTACATTCAATTTTTTAAACATTATTTGAAATAAAACATAATCATTAAATAAAATTTGGAAAACAGAAAAGTATGAAACTTTACCCATAGTCCTACCAGTTATACAAAACTAAAGTTAACATGAATTTGCTTCTAGTCTTTTTCTCCACGTTTTATTTATTTTAAACACATCTTGAATTGTATTGTTTATGTAATTCTGTATCTTTTTTCTTTCTTTTTTTTTTTTTTTTTTGGCCTCACAACACTTCAAAACTTTTCACTGTTCCTACATAGTCTGTTTTTAATGGCTGAATTTTATTATTCCATTAAATACTATAGCTTTATTTAACCACTCCTTTTTTGGTTAAATTTATATTGTTTCTAATTTCTTCTTTTTCATAAATAACCCTATGATAGATTTTCTTAGGCATAAAGTTTTTTGTTTTTTTTTTTCCTGTTTGTAGGATTGTTTCCTTGGTATAGAACTGTAGAAATAGAATTATTGGACCAAAAGCTTATGAAATTTTAAGCTTCTGGATAAACACTGTAGAATTGGTAGTTTTGCTTTGTTTGTTTCCTAGTTTGGGAGGAGGTGATTTTGTTCAGTAATAGGAAGTTGTGGTTCCAAGGAAGACTGATCTTCATTTTCTTGTTAATGTGTTGAAATTGTGCTCAGCCTTGACTGAATGAAACTACATGTTAATTCTTGTAGTAATTTTACAGCAACAAAAGGGTTTTCCCCAGTCCCTCATTGCTTTCTACATATGGTTAAGTGCATTTTCTGAGCCACACCCTTTTGCTGTTACCTAATGTTGGGTGATATCAGGTCACTTTCCTTTAAATGTGCACAGACTTTTGTAAGTGAATTCAGCAGACAGGTTAAGCTTTGCTATAAACTGGATTTTGACATGTTGCTCACTTAATACAGATTTTTAAATTTTAATACAAGAAGTGATCATCTCACAGTTTATTATGTTCGATTTCCTCTCTGTTACTAATGGTCTCTCTTGAAGTTTCTGATTTGGTTTAATAATAATTAAATCCCAGAAGTGTAATATTTTAGAGATGGAAGAAATCTTAAAATTCCCTAATCTGAAATTCTTCTATTTTATAGATGAACAACTTGAGGCTCATGTGGGTTAAGTGTTTCGTCCAAAGTTAGTTCGTGGCAGAGTTGGGATTATAATTTTGTTCTTATTTCTCTGTGAAGTGTTTTTTTTTTCCAACTATAGTTTTTTAATGTACTAACAATACTAGTTCCACAGGCTGCTTTATGATTAACTCCTCTGATTCTCTATTCCTATCATTTAAGGCTTTTGCTTATAAGCATGCTAGCTAGTGGTCCACCCTATGTGGCAGGAGATGCTTTTCTGAGTAAGCTGACCAGCTATTCAAGTTTCACTACTGAACATTGTGAAATTGAACTCTGCTTCTTGCATATTTGGTATCATATATAGGTTTCTTTTTCATCAACATTGCAGTTTGGTACTTGACATTTTTGTAGAAAATGCAGTCTCCAACTGACTACAGTCTAGCACTTGCCAAAGATTGGCTTGAGGCTTCTGGTACGTAAGAGAGACAAGTTGATAGATAAGCTAACTAACTTTCTAACTTCTGTGTTAAGTAAGCCATCAGAAAGGAATGTATTTAGAACTTGTCATTTCACCTTTCCACAGGAATGCCTTTAGTGAATTATGATTTAATATAATTATTTCACCTTATAAAGAAGAGTTATAAAAAACATCTATGTGACTAGAATGTCTATCCTTTTCAAAACTCTAAGACATGTTTAGTTTGTTTTTCAGTTAAAAATTTAGAGATTGAGTCTTGCTAGGTTCTCCATGCTGGCCTAAAACTCCTGGGCTCAAGCAGTTCCCCGACCTCAGCCTCCAGAGGAGCTGGGACTATAAGGATACACCACCACACTCAGCTTGCTTTTCAGGTTTTTTTTTTATTTTTTTATTTTTATACATGCACGCACACACACACACACACACACACACACACATATATATGCACATACACATACATGGTATTTACATGTTGACAATTACATTAATAGAGCATCTTGAAGTATAAGTGTGAAACCTCTAAAAAATGATAAAGTAGCACAATTTGCTACTCTGGAGACTGAGGCAGGAGAATCACTTGAACCCGGGAGACAGAGGTTGCAGTAAGCTGAGATCACACCTCTGCACTCCAGCCTGGGTGACAAAATGATACTCCACCAAAAAAAAAAAAAAAAAAAAAAAAAAAAAAAGATTTCTTTCAGACAGTATGCCAATGAGTAGTACAAACAAGACAACATAGGTATGTAACTATATGATTTATTACCCTTGACTAAGAGCAAAATCAGTGGGAGGAAACAAGAGGTATGCCCCATACCTAGAAACTCACTTAAACGTGTAGCCCCAAGATAACCTCTAAATTTATCTATTAAAGTTTAAAGGAGAATTAAAACTTTTTCCTTCCGTTTCTGTCGTTAGCACAAATTTTTTCCAGAATGTTCCCAAGAGGTAACTAGACCACTAGTGGTTTCATTTCTTTCTTTTCCCTTTCCTTTGTTTTGTATCGTGGTAAAATATATATAACATAAAATTTACTGCTTTATTTTTTAAGTGTATACTTTAGTGGGATTAGGCACATTCACGTCATCGTGTAACCATCACCACTCTCCATCTCCAGAACTTTGTAATCATTCCAAACTGAAATTCTGTACTCATTAAATAATAATTTCCCATTTTGTACTTCCTTAAGCCTCTGATAACCACTGTTCTACTTTTTTGAGATGGAATTTTGCTCTTGTTGCCCAGGCTGGAGTGCAGTGACGCAATCTCGGCTCACCACAACCTCTGCCTCCTGGGTTCAAGCAATTATCCTGCCTCAACCTCCTGAGTAACTGGGATTACAGGCATGTACCACCATGCCCTGCTAAATTTGTATTTTTATTAGGTTTCTCCATGTTGGTCAGGCTGGTCTCGAACTCCTGACCTCAGGTGATCCACCCACCTTGGCCTCTGAAAGTGCTGGGATTACAGACGTGAGCCACCGCGCCTGGTGTTCTTCTACGTTGTGTCTCTAAGAATTTGACTATTCCAGGTGCTTCATATAAGTGGAGTAATACAATATTTGTCCTTTTGAGCCTTTACTTATTTCACGTCTTTACTTATTTCGCTTAGCATAATGTCTGCAAAGTTCATCCATGCTGTAGCAGGTATCAGAATTTCATTCCCTTTTTAGGGCTGAATAATATTTCATTATATGTATATACCACCTTTTGTTTGTTCATTCATCTGTCAGTGACCATTTTGGTTGTTTTCACCTTTTGGGTATTCTGACTAATGTTGCTATGAACATGGGTGTAAAAATATCTGTTCTTGTCCCTGCTTTCAATTCTTTGGGTGTATACC